GCATCGGTCTGTAAACCTTTCTGTGTTCTAACCTCTCTCCATTTTTCAAAAGCATCTCCAGTATTGATCCTAGTTTGAGCACGTTTCTGCTCGTGGAGCTTATTAGAAACATGCAGAGGCTTTTTAGGTCGGGTACAATCACTTCTATCTGAACCACTTCTCTTGTCTGCTTCCATCCTTGACCTGATAACTGCTCTCATATCTGGAAAACCGAGGGGCGTCCAAAACGGCCGTGTGAGGGGAGCCTTAACACCGCCTACTTTCTCTCTAAACTATCTACTGAGTTATTATTTTTTAAATATTATCTGATATTTTAATGTTTGCATCTTCATCTGGTGTCCATTGTTTGTACATTTTATTGGGTGTTTCTTCTTTTGTTCTGTTGTCTAATTTTGAATTTTTGTGGCCATGCTGTATTTTTGTATATTCTATATGGGAGGTTTCTTTTCTCTAATGATTTTTGATTTCATTTGTGTCCCTCATGAGGCTGTAAAGTACTTGACTGCTGTCTGGGAAAGTTGCTCTATTGACTAACTTGCATGATGTTGCTATTCCCCCCCCGACTTAAAACAATAAAGAATAACAACCCTTAATTATCAACTTGATGATGACTAGATGAATGTGATGTGGATAAATTGTCACGTGGTATCAGTTGGAAAGTGAATTTTCTCTGTACCGACTCAGGATCACAGAGCGCTTCATTAATTACAGCCTCAGCCTGCAGCCTGCCTGCGAGCGGTGGTTGCTCAAGCAGCAGTGTGTGTGTGTGCAGATCAGACCCCCCCCCCACCCCCGAAGCCTTGAGATTGTGGATTAGGAGTCGTTCCAATTTTCATGGCCGTAGCATCGGCACATGCTGAGCTCCTCCTAACTTTGTGCTGGAGGACACATATCATGCTAATGAAACAGGCCACGCTGGGTTGGCCCCTGTTTTCTTCACTGGCTTTCTCCATGGCAACCGCAGTAATAACCATAACTTAAGGATATGGCTATTAAAGCAAAGTTCAAGTGCTGGCTGCAAATATGCATCATGGATGAGTAACGCTGCGACTGTGACATGCACAAGATTGTGGGGTGAAGAATAGCCAGGGCTGATGTATGAATCTCCATTTATCTCCATGTTTGAAGCCCGGAAATATGTGTGTGTGTGTGTGTGTGTGTGTGTGTGTGTGTGTGTGTGTGTGTGTATGTGTGTGTGTGTGTGTGTGTGTGTGGGTGGGTTGTCCTTCTCAGTTATTTTTTGTTATTTTAACATTAAGTCTCTATACACTACATCTTTATTTATGTGGGCCTTATAGGAATGGTTGTAGATGTAGTTTTCCTCGTACTGATTGTTTGTTGTTCTTTGTGTTTCAGTTTCTGTCTTTGTTCTCTGCCTTGGCTCATCATGACAAGATGGAGGATGGAGCTGGAGTAGGGATGTGCAGGGCAAAGAAACTTCACTTTGTAAAGTTTATCTTGTGTCATGTTTGTCACTGTGATGGTGCTTCCTTTATTAGAGAAACGAGACGGATGTTACATTGAGGGACACTGGATTATAATCTCTGTACAGTGGACACTCTCTACATGTAATACTCTAAAGCTCACATATTCTCCTCCTCTTCAACTCAGTGTAAACCAGTTTAACTAAGTCTCAGAGCTCCCCAGAACATGTGTGTGAAGTGTCTTGTTCTAAATCCACTCTGATCCTGTATTTGATCATGTCTATAAACCCCTCTATTTCAGCCCTGCTCAGAACAGAATGTTTCTGTGTCTGTACCTTTAAATATGTAAATGGATTGTGTCTGACCACGCCCCCTCTCTGGAAGGGCTCGGGTGTCTCGGGCTTTCTTGCTCCATGTCCTATTGTTTACGGTGAGAAGGCAGACTCAGAGGGCAGAACAAACACCTAGCTGTGGGAGTGTCACCCACCTGGGGGAGGGGTTACTGCCCTTGAATTATCTCTAGATGTGTTTCAATATTGACCATTTAAATGATTGCCACTTCGGTTCTTTTCACAACTAACTTGTTACACATAACCAGGCTCTTCACCTCCTGCCTGCGTCTCCACAGGTCACAAACCAGTGAGCAGGAGCCACTAGAACATAACAAGGACACAGTCCTTCACTGAGGAGGCTGATTGTGAACACTGACAATTAAGTTAAATGGGGCAGCTGGCCAAGCAGGAAGCATCGAGGCTCCTGCCAAATTGTCCCTGTAGAGTCCTTCATGTGATGCTCAGCAGTGTCTCAAACTGGGATTAGTTAACTTCAGAATCAGAGCAAACCTCCCGCCTGAGCACCTTCCCTCCAACCCAAACGGATTGTCTCATATTAAACGTTAGGTCATTATAAATACCGTATTGGTCCGAATATAAGACGGCTTTTTTCCCCATCGAAATAGGTCCGAAAAAGTCGGGTCGTCTTATATTCGGGGTCTAGTATTCAGAGCGCAGCTCTAATTGTTCGCCTGTCCCTTTAAATGTCAACACACATGACGCGCTCTGGGAGGAGCAGGGGAGTGATGACAGTGAGAGAGAACACAGCGGGGCGGAGGACGTGTGTGAGGAATAGGAGACATCGGAGGAGAAGTTTGGAGAGTTTTAGTTTAAAAGTTAGTTTTAGTTAAAGATGTGGCCTGTATTTTCTCTGTTATTTCAAAATGTTGATAATATTGCTTGATTTTAATTTTGAATCATACTGTACATGTTTTGACCTTGTGAAAAACTTTGTTTTATGCCGTAGCATATAACGATAAATAGGCCTATGTTTATTATTGTTATCATTATTAACACAACAGGTGTTTAATTCAATGTGTTTTTAATATTGTTATTTTCAAATAAAATGAAGTTCTTTAAAAAAAAAGTTCTTTATAAAAACAAGATCTGGTCTGCAAATCTTTTTTTCTAAATGTGAGTGTGGAAAAACGGGGGTCGTCTTATAATCCGGGTCGTGTTATATTTGGACCAATACGGTATGTGTTTTTTGCAATCATCTTCATGCAACCCCATTCCTACCTTGCTCTTAAAAAACTCATCACATGCAGCTGCTTGGTCGAAGCCTCAAGAATCAAATTATGACACTGTGACCTCTCTTTGGTGACATTTCTAGATGCTGTTCTTATGGGTTGGTTTTCTAAAAGTCAGGTGACATGCGGGGGTTTCTTAGAGGGGATGGATGAGTCACACAAACAAAGGACTTTCATCCCGGCAACAAAGTTCAGCCCCATTATTCAGAACTCTATGATGACGTCTTTTCAAAAGCTTTAGAGCTACTAAACTGATTTGAGTTACATAATGTGCAGATGCAAGTGATATGAGTATGTAAGTTAGTCAATCATATACAGTAAGACTATTTGAAAGCGCATACATTTGATGGTACTGAGCGGCAACTTAGGTGTTTTAAAATGAAGCCAATGCCAAAGTACTAAAAGAACACAGTTCCTTCTGTGTCCACTTGAGGCTCAAATGGACACTGAGCCTCAAAAGTCTCAAACACACCTCATAATAAAATGTCAATTTTGATAAAATGCTAACAGCTTGGTACATAAAAACCATTTTGGTCTGATTAGTAAAGTCCTTATGGACACACACTGTCTGATTTGATGAAGGTCAGAAGTTATGCATAACTAATGGGTGTGACCGATCTGACTGCGAGCGGCTGCTTTGTAGCAGGAGACTTAAGGCCTGCCTCAGCTCCAGCTCGTTTCCTGTCATAAGGTTTACCGAAAGTTTGAATGAATGGGCTTCCAAAGGAGCCCTTCAGAAACCAATGGGTGGCGTCACTCAGCCTTCGTCCGTGTTTATTTACAGTCCATGATTAAAACACAAACCATCATTTTCTTAACCAAGGACTTAGCTTTTCTACATCACCAAACTGAAACCATTTTTGCAACATCAGTCTAACTAGATATTGCTTATGCATGATTTCTAACTTGATGTATGTATATTTATTTGAGCTGACTTAACCGTAGAGCTCTACTCATACACGCCAGCATCACATTGGCAGCTTGTTTGTCATATTTTGAAGCTAAGGAGAACAGACCCAGCTTGTATTTTTGAAGAGTGGGGAGATCAACAAAGCACAGCTGCCGTGCAACACACTCCTGTATGTTTTTTCAACACTCCTGTGTAGCGGCCTGTTGTTGTTATTTCCAATATTGCAACCAAAATGACTTTTGGCAGCGAACAGATTTTGAGTGTAATGTCAGGCTGCAGCTTGTGAGCTCACCCTGCACACAGGTTTACTCTACCTGTCAAAGTCAAGTCCTCTACTATTACACAGAGAGGGCTTTCATGGCTCGCACTGCAGACACCTCACAAATAACTGAATTTTGCAGAAACGATGCACAACAATTGTGTAACTGAGAAAAAAAAAACGTTAATTTCACTTGGCATGAAATATTGCATGCTTTCTCGATTACTTTGATTTATGCTTATGAAAGATTTCAAGGTTCATGCAAGAAAATGGTTGTATTTTCATCCTGCAACTTTTTTTGTCTGTGAGGCTTCAAATGCAAATGTTCCAATCCATTAAAATGTCACACACATAAACGTGTCAAAGAGAGTTTGTTTGCACTTGATGGCTGACTTTGCATGAGTAGTTGCAGCTCTATTTGTTAGATCTGATAATTCGAGTGATGGATGGCCCCACATGGTGAAATAAGGCTGCTCTATTTGTAGGAAAGGCAATTAACAAAAATGACCACAAATAAAAAAGAGAACACATTTCATCCCCTCAGTGCTTCAAGTCCTGCTGCCAAAAACCTGCAGAGGGAAACTAAACTGATGTCAGCAGTCACATGCAGGGCTTGAAATATGAAGTTAATATTCATTAATGTCAGAGCTGTGTGTAAAGCATCACACTGTGACAGAAACATAGTGGGGAAATGATGTGTTGCTCAGAACAAAAGGTCATGCCAAAACAAATAGGTCAGTCCTGAAATGAGAGCGCAGGAGGAGTGAGAGTCATGGAGATGGACATGAGAACAAATGTCATTTGATGGCCAATGGTTCTACTCACCCTTGCTCCTCCATCATCTCCTGCAGCTCCATACATTTCAGCTCCACCCTCCTCTTCCTCTCGTGGTCCAGGATCTCTCTGTGAGGCTTCTTCATCAGGACCATCTCTACTTTGGGCTTCTCCTCCTCCTCTTCCTCCTCTTCCTCCTCCTCCTCCTCCTCTGCACCTGGCTGTCCCTCCTCGGTTTTGGCTTGTAGGGCTGCAGTCGGAGTCAACCCCCCTGATCCTGCTGCTGGTCCTGCTCCCGCTGCTGCCCCTGCTCCGGGCACCACAGGTTGGGCCACCCCGTTCGCACCATCTTTAGGAGATGGCACCCTTGCCGCATCGTACATGGTTACTGAAGTCTGTGAAAACATAGAAGATGAAGAGAAACTGTCAGTCAAAGACACTATTATTATCAAACTGCACTGTTAAAGGTGGAGGAAGGAAACAATTCTTGCACACAAGGCATGCATTTAGTAAAAAAGAACAAAAATAAGGACATGTTTTACTCTGTTTAGAGCCGCATGAAAAGACTCCTTCATGGTCTCTAAACAAAGTTGCCAGCCGAAAGACGACCAAATGTTGTCTGCATAACAACGTACTTGAAGCGACAGGAAGCCACAAACATTCAGAGGCTTGCAATACGCACGGAAAGACGAAGCTGTGATGTTAATACCTCTGGACAGGCTGCAGCGTTTCTGCCTGAACTGAGCAAACATTCACAAACATCAACATACTGTACAACTGCACACACGCACAGAGTTTGGAGTACATGTAGACGTGCATTGCAGGCGACAGCGCAATGGCAGCAAAAGTCTGCTTCATCATGAGTCAACAGCGTGGAAGTGCAGAGAGGCAGGTTGGAGGGGACAGACTGAGAGCTAAACTCATTTAAAGCTCACAAACAAAGCCGGACGTCTTATTTAAAAACGACAATAGCAAAATATCTTTACTGTTTTTCTGCAGTGTATTTGTTAATGAGACCATATTTCTTTATTTGTGGTATACAACTTGGTGCTGGGAGAGGGTTGTTTGCCTAGTACCGGTACTGGCCAACCAGTAAGATGTGAAGTGAGTGAAATGATAAAGTGACCTTACTATATGATCAGACATTAAGGAAACATGCTATGTTGAAGTGCTGGCTTCTCTGACAACAATGCAGCAGCCAGTATGTCCTCCTTCTAACTTTAGATTCTGGTCCTGAATGCTCTGGATTTGTTTGGACCAGAGGAGGTAGGCGGGTTTAAGGATGTTATCGTGTTATCTATGGTGTAGAGCACCAGTTTTAAAACATGTCTTTTATTTTTATTTTCAGAATTATATTGTCTGTATTCTTACATTCAGATTTGTTTAGGTGTGAAATCACATGTCCACATTTTCTAAACTTTCAACAACAATTGATCTTTATTGACGAAGCGTTTGAAATCAAATCAAGAAATGAAATCGCAAAAACACAAATTCTACTGTAGAATTCTAACGGTTTAAGTGATCCCATCTACTGGACCAACATGAAGCCATAAACTGAGATTATAAACCACACATCCAGCATGAGCGAAAACAGAGCGTAAAGGGGAAGGCTGTAAGCAGCTTAAGGACGCAGAGACAGGGAGAAGTCTGCACAAACAAAACAGAAAAGGGAAGAAGATGTAAATTATTGATTCTTTCCTAATTTGACTGAATTGCATCATTCCTGAATGCCTTCTTTCTTTCTTTCTTTTTGGACTCCCTCCACCTTTCTGTTTCTGGCTCGTTTGCTCGTGAATTGATGAGGTTGTCATTTTGGTGAATAAAAAGTCATCTGCTACAAGTGCAGCATGGAGCGGGCTCTGATTAAGATGGATGCTCCTGTTAGGGCTGCTGTAGAGCACGCAGAGAGGAGAGGAAGGCCTTCACGTGCCCTAAAAGCCTCGGCTGCCCACTAGCCCGTCCACTCCCTCTAAAACTAATGGCTTCATTTTTCACGGAGGAGCCTAAAAAGCTGCCCAGCTGAGGCACTTCATCACTGTCACATATGGAGGACGAGAGACAGGAGGAGACCAAGGCTGGATGGACAAACCTCTTCTGTCTATTTATCTTCTGATGTTGAGTTTCCGAGCAGTTTGAGCCATGCAGACAGGCTGCTCTCTCTCTCGCCCTCTCTCTCTCTCTCTCTCTCTCTCTCTACAGGGGAGTCTTTGACTGCTTAATAGTGATGTGCTTGTTTTTGAAGTGCTGCGAGCTGGTAAACGAGCCGTGGATGTGTGCGGAGCGACACGGCTCTGGGCTGACAGAACAGGTGGCAGGACAGCAGGAGGCATCATCGCTGAATCTATTATACAGTAAATCAACACTTGATATTCCATGACAGCAGCCTCTCATCCGCACCCGCTCGCCACAAAAACTACCCTGAAGAGAATTCAGGAGGCAAAGCTCTTCTTTTTTTTTGTTCACTTAATATTCAGGTGGAGAACAGCAACACAAAGCACCTCAGTGAGGCTGGAAGGAGTCAGCTGATATGACCTTGTTTTCTACTAATTGAGCAGAAATGTCAGAGCTAAAACAAAGTGCTGCTCTTCCTGCTTCCTGTCCGTCGCTTTGTTTTAATTAGACCGGCCGGTCAAAGGCTACTAATGCTCGAGATCCATTGCTCAGATCTGGATCTCTCAGGCAGAGTGGAGCATCACTGCTAATCCCATTCGTGCATGACATCATGCCATGCCTGCTGGATCAGTTCAGATATCATACTGTAGTAGTTCTGACCAAATGCAGCTGACCATGAAGAAGGACAAACCACCTACTCTCATTTTACAAAATGCCCACAGCACCACTGTGCTGACCGCGTCTAAGGAGCTGTCTGTCATGGCATAACATCCCTCTGATTAGCTTTTAATAACTAATTAAAACTACACTTCTCAGAACAATGAGCACTGACGTAAATCAGCGTGATTAGAAGGCACTATAATGACAGAAACCATGCTTGCGAACATGCATTTGATGTGTATTTTTTTGGGCTGTCAGCGTGAATGTGTTAATTGCGATGCAATTAAGGTCGGATAAAGAAAGATAAATGCCTCCACCCACAACTCTCCTCCTGCACAGAGGCATAAACAAATGAAGATCAAATCTGAAAATCTGCAGAAAAAGGAGCCTCCCAACCAAAATAATAAAAAGACTTCCCACTGCCAGATGTGGGAGTCAAACACTGCAGGCCAAACACCCTTAATCTGTGTGAAACCATGCTGTAAATATCCAGACATCTCATTATACTAATGCATCACACCACAGTCATTCCTCTGGTTCCCAAGAGAGAGAGAGGGGGGGTGGGGGGTGCAAAAAAAAAATCTGTTCTCATTCAAGTTAAGACAACTAAATCATTTAATTGTGTAATGACAAAAATCCGAGCTTGTCATGGAGCCGATAAGGCAGCCGAGCACACAGTTAATTGTGCATGAGTCCTCTGCAGGGACTGAAGGTTATCTGGAGCGACTGTATTAATGGTGTCACCAAGCTATTCTGCTATTATTGCGAGGGCGTGCGAGACTGTCACATCCCAACAAACACTGCATGTAATTAGTCATTATGCTAAGTGAAGTTGCTGCTGTAAGAAATGAGACAGTCATTAGTGCTCGTCTTCTCCCCGTCCAGAGAAGGGAGATGTTTCCTGTCTGTTTTTAACCTTTGCCTGAGGTTCATTGTGCTGTTTTCTTTGAAGGCTGCTGCTGCTCTAGATTCCTCTGCTGTGTCGACACCACAACAAAGCCCGCCATGCGCTGAAATCAAACCACTTGAATCCAGAAAAACAAGTCATACGATCTCTAAGCGAAGGGGTCGCTGAGCGCCCACGTAGCCTGAGTCATCTGAAATAGACAGTACATGGATCACACACTTAAAGCTCAATTACTGAGGATAACTCTCGATGATCGTGGTCTGACACTGAAGACTGATGTGTCTCATCAGTGACCTAATGTTGCATTAGGCTGATCAGATGTTAGTGAGGGGATTGCCTGGACTTGTGGGGGGATTATACTGATCTTTAATGCATCGTTCCAGGAGGGGATTTTATCTGAATATATCATAAAGGAAAAGTAGATTACATCATTCATACTGTATTCTGTAGTCCATCAGTTATTTAGCATGACGTCCTCTTTGAAAGGAGAGTTGTCCAGTTGACTTGTTGCATCATGAGAAGCTAAATTTGAACAGGAAGTGCACTGAGGAGATCCCAAATTTTGAGAAATAAAAGCAAATTATTTATGAGGAGATAAGCTACTGTTTAGAGAAATCTATTTTAAATCTTCACTTTGCATAAAATGTCCCTATCTCTGTGTGAAATATCTGTGAAGCAGATGATCCACCACTTCAACCCAAACTAAAATATCTGTAGCGGGAGAAACCGACCTGAGGAAGAGAATATGTTTACAGACGAGCTAATGTATTTGTGTTTAATTTACATCATGTTTTTATCACAGCAGTACATACAGCAACCGTACGGCAGCTTTCAGCAGCAATTCCCAGTTTCTGTGAGTTCCCAGTTCTCTGTTTCCGAACATCCGGTGTTTCCACGGCAACGATAAACATTTTGTTTGTCATGGCGGCCGTTGCGACAAGACACGTCCCGTTACAACTATAAAATTACAAATTTATCTCTGCATTTGATAACTGTTGGAAATATTTGAGGTAATGTAAGAACTCAATAATAAAAAATGAATTAAAAAAAAATATAGTTTTAGTCCATTTTAAATTAATTTAGATATCTTAATTTAAACATTGTTGTAAAATTCTACATATCGTACCTTTAACACTGAAATTCATGCCGTTATTCATTGTTGTTTTTTATCCTCGGCCGACGTGAAGCTGCATGTTTTAGTTGTGTGACAGCAATGATGTCATAATTTGCCTTATATGAATGAGTGCACTACAGAGAACTCCCTTTAAAGTGAGTACAAGGCACGAGTGTGGGATTTCATCCATGAGAGGACTTCTCTGAATCTGTTCCAGTGAACATACAGTTATGAATGTAATTACAATCATTGTAATAATATCAATAAAGAAGATTTTAACAATATGCTTTATCTCCTAAATGTGAAGCTTGTCCTTTATATGGTGTGTTTACTGAGTCTGACTACATCAACATATTGCAGATTTTCTTTAAGAACGCAACATATGAACGACCATCTGTACATTTAGACTGTTAATGTAAATACTGCAGAGACAGTCCTGTATGTATATCTGCAGACACAGGAGAGTCAGCACAATCTGTTTCTGCATGTTTCATCTCGCTATGAATCTCTGCGGTCATAAATAGTTGTAGACGACCCTCTATCAAAGTCAAAGTCAAAGTCAACTTTATTGTCAATTTCAAAATATGCCAGACATACAGTGG